GGTTATTTGATATATTCTTCATGTGACATCTGTTACACTGCTGGTGTTGTTTTGTTATTATTGTGTCAAATAACTATAGCTCTATTACTATCAGATATTTGATATATTCTTGATGTAACATCTGTTACACTGCTGATGTTGTCTTGTCATTATTGTGTCAAATAACTATAGCTTTATTAATACCAGATAGTTAATATATTCTTGATGTGACTACTGTTACAATGCTGATGGAGTCTTGTTTATTACTGTGGCAAATAACTATAGCTCTGTTACACTACTGATGTAGTCTTGTTATTATAGTGTCAAATAACTATAGCTCTATTACTACCAGATATGTGATATCTGTTACAATGCTGGTGTAGTTTTATTATTATAGTGTTTTAAATAACTATAGCTCTATTACTATCAGTTTGTCATGCTGGTTGTTTTCACTACATATCAGACTACTGTGTATCTTGATAAAATGTTTTTAAAAATAAGTTTAAATACTTGGTTTTATTGTTATAGTTTATACATTTTATTATCTTTTCAATCAGCAACAATAGAATTCTTAGTTAAGTTATATTGACTAATTTTTCTTCAAGTGTACACAGGAATATGTTGAAACTAGTTTCTGTGTACAGGTTTTTTAATAGCATCTATAAACTTCATAGTAAAAAATAAAACATTAAAGCTTTTCAAAATTCAGAAGTAACCTATCTAATATCAGACATTAGAAAAACAAAGTTATTAAAAACACAAGAAAGTAGAAACACTTCAACTATTTGAACTACAAGAAAGCCAAGTTTGTTTTGTGTATTATACAGTTGAAATTCTTTTCACACCAGAATGTGATATTTTTCTTTGATATAGATTGTTGCTGTGTTATATAGGTGTTGGATCAGTTACTTCTACCGATTGTTGCAGTGTTGTCCAGTTGTTGGATCAGTTAATTCTCTACCGATTGTTCCCGTTTCATTGAGTTGATGGATCAGTTACTTCTCTACCGATTGTTCCTGTGTCATCCAATTGTTGGACTAGTTATTTCTACTGATTGTTCTCGTGCCATTCAGGTGTTGGATCAGTTACTTCTCTACCGATTGTTCCCGTGTCGTCCAGTTGTTGGATCAGTTAATTTTCAACTGATTGTTCCCGTGTCATCCAGGTGTTGGATCAGTTACTTCTACCAATTGTTCCCGTTTCACAGAGTTGATGGATCAGTTACTTCTCTACCGATTGTTCCCGTGTCATCCAATTGTTGGACTAGTTACTTCTACCGATTGTTGCTGTGTTATACAGGTGTTGGATCAGTTACTTCTACTTGAAGAAACCATCAACAGCTATGAACAAAGAGTTCCACCGTTAGGTACACAAAAATGATCCAACTGTGTATTCTTTGTGTTAATGACAGTTTTATAATACTTTCATTTGAGAGTTGGACATTATGAATTA